ATAGTGATGCTATGTGTTTTTAAGAGTTTATTTTTAACAACTGCGTGAACAGTATGCTGGTGTCTATTTCAAAAGAATGAATTTTTAATGATGCTGCTGTAGAATTCTACGTGTAGATTATTGAAAAGGTTGATAGTCAATGGACAATGAGCCGTATTTTAAAATATCAGATCAAAGATCAATTGTCCCATTTAATTCAATATGAAAATAAATAAATAAATAAATAAAATCAGCTTCTCCCGCCACTTTCCACTATACTTTTTTTTTTTTTGAAATTTTGTTATTGGGGGATATATGGTGATACATTATGATTAATGTCATAGTATTTAAAGACACCTAATCAACCTTTATTCATGTTTTACCACTTATATGAACAAAATAACCGGAATAATCAATCACCAAGAGTAAATGAAGGGTGATATAAAAGCATTTGCTGATTGGTATGCTAATTGTTATCTATCAACATATTATCATTTTATGTTTGATTAACGCCGAACATTTACATTTTTTTTTGTTCATCATTTCTTATTCCTCTTTGGTTTTATTTTCTTTTACTTTTTTTTTCCACATTACGTGTTATCGTTACTTTTCAAAACACAGACATTGATGAATGCAAGGAGATGAAAGTATGCCAATGTCCCGAGTGCAGCTGCAAGAATACCTGGGGCAGTTATGAGTGTACTTGTAGCGGAGACCTTTTATATATGAGAGATCATGATACCTGCATAAGTTAGTTCTCGTAAAAAAAAAAAATGAAAAATTGTTGCTTATTTATTTCTTTATCATTCTATGTGAGCTGTTTGTATACTAAAATACTGTTTGTTTGCTACTATTTTTTTTCATCAAAGGTAAGAGGACTACTGAAGTGAAGTCTTCTTGGACAGCCGTTTGGATTATTCTGATCGGTTTGGCTATGGCAAGTGGTGGAGCATATCTTATATACAAATATAGGTTGAGGGTAAGTTTTCCACATTGATATTGGTTTTCGGTTTTAGCATTGCAAGTACCTTTTTTAGGGGTAATTACTGAACTGACTCTAAAGTTTAAAACTTAATTGCAAAAGAACCCCAGTTATCTTTAGAAATAAAACTACCCATTTCATAGTTGTTTTCCTGCTACAAAAAATGCATAACCACAATAGTCGTTTGTAGTACTTTTAAAGGGTGTTTTTAATTTCAGAAGTTAATCGGTCTAAAACATCAGGGTAACTTGTATAAATATCCTATTCTGTTGGGTGCTTTGGTTAATTCTTAAATGTTCCTTGTTTCATTCATTCTGATGACTGAGCTCTTCGTTTGATTAACTTTGATTTTGCTGAAATTAATTTTTTTTCATAAAAGCTTGTGATTTACTATGATTTATATCCTTTTTTTTTTCTCAGTCGTACATGGATTCAGAGATCAGGGCAATTATGGCACAATACATGCCTCTCGACAGTCAACATGAAGTCCCAAATCATGTAAATGATGAGCGTGCTTGAAAAAACGATGACCAATCAATCTATCATCATAATTCTCTCATGTGTCCAGCAAAATATTCTGAAAGGTAAAGAAAAATTATATACTTTCTTGAATGATTTTTGTTGGACAATGGTTTGATACGCGATTTTTCTTCGTGTCTTTAGTTATGGAACATGTATGATTCAGAATTCGATTAAGGTTCACTTGATAAAAAAAAAAAAAAAAAAAATTAGGTCGAAAAACATGTACATTGTACGATTATATGACAGGTATGTTGTGCCCCCCTAATTTAATCGAGAGGAGCGTGTAATAATGTGCATATTCTTTTATCCTTGTAATGTACTCTCGTGTCGTGATTTGCATGTTTTTTTGAGGGTCAACATCATTAATTATAGATTTGTTTAAGCTTTTGTGGTTGGTTCTCATTGAATGCTGCTGTTAAAAATCCATGATTTCATGATTTACTGACACAATTGTTTCTTTGGATGGATCTGATGAAAAAGATTATATAAATGCACATAAACAAATGGAAATCATTAGTTTCGAAATTGTGCTTCGAATAAAATGTGAAGAAACTATAGAAATTGTGCTTGGAAGATTGTGTACTTTTAACTGGTTGCAAGCTTGCAGGTGTTGGTTCTTACGGTATAGAACAACTAGAAAGAATGGTCGATACTTTGTACCGATTTTCTTGATTTTGCATTTTTTTCTGAATATTTACCGTCAAATTTTTGTTGTCTGTGTTCGTGCTATACGAGTTCAGTCAAACTTCTTACTAAAGATTTCATTGTTTGGCTGGGATTGGTATATGCTTGCATCGTGTGACGATTATAACATATATCGGATCATCGTGTAAGAATAGTAAGTCCCAGTTTTGATATATAAATACGAGCCAAATAGAATGCAGTATTTTCATTTGGCGTGGATCGGGTTGGGATGAATTCAAAATTAGTGTATAATTGTATTTACATCAAAAATTTACAAAGTTATGATTTGAATTTGAATAAATGTAACCTTTCACACGCGAGTCAAAACAAGATCTCCAAATCTTGTTTATGATCATTGGTAGAAAAGTCAGCAGAACTAGTTGATTTTTGGAAGGATAATCATATTATATAGTTCTTAAGCTCTTTATCTTTGATTTACAATTGGATCCTTACAAAAGTGAGTATTCACAAATCGAACCGACCCTTGCTGCCGCTTCGAACTCCAACCCTGCAAGCGCCGAGACGACCTCAACCCCTCCGTCTTGAATTTGCTAATGGTGTTGTAATTTATTTGTACAAAAACTGGCTTCATAGGAAATAATTGGTTAATTCATTGCTTTAATTACTCGACCTGCCACCGAGATGATGCCATGGTTTGAAGCCAACTTAAATAATCTTGTTCACTCGACCTATCACCGAGATTTCCATTTTAACTTTGAAAACAATCATAGATTTTGCATAACTTTTATTCATTTTGCCTGCTACTGAGGTCTCCATTTTAGTTTTGAAAATAGCATAAGATTTTGTATAACCTTTATTCATTCGATCTGTCACTGAGGTCTCCATAGTTTTTACCATTTTTTACGCTAAGTCCACTTAGTAAATCGACCTTCCATTGAGGTCACCCATACATGTGTATTTATCATGCATGCTAGCCAATCTTCATTGTTGTTGAACTTTTGGGTTTCGAGTGTGGTCATTGCCTCTTATAACACAATGCTACGGTCGACCACCCAGGCCAGAGACCTTAATCATGATGAATGTTTGCCTTGAATACTTATTCAACTCTCAACTGGATTTGTTCAAACAAGCGACCATCCAACTCGAAGGCTTTATTCATGTGATAAAATGTTCTTATAATCTCACTATTATTGTATATATTCAACAACTCAAATATTTTTTTTTTTTTTGTCTATATATAAATTTATTTATTTACTTTATGTAGCAACCTGTCATTCCATTCTCATGATCACATGTTTTTCTTACTTAAATAAGAGTGTTCCTTTGTTAACAAAAAACCAAAAAAAAAAAGAAAAATATATATATATATATATATATTTTCTCTATAAACATATCCATTAAAAGAAGACAAAATTGCACTCCGTAGTACATTTTATTTAAATGCACGATTTTATTTTTTGGCTAAAACATTACATAATTGCAAAACGAAGCACGTGACTTGATCTTCGTCCCAACCATATGGATGGTAGAAAATAATATATAAAAAGAAAAGGATTGAAACATAAGAAAACTATAACTAATATCTATAAATACAATTAGGAAAGATCTAGGAGAATGAATTAGCAAACATTAAAATTATGCAAGACATCACAACAAGAACATATACACTATCAAATTTTAAAATGGATTATATAAACCAAAAACCGGGCATCTCAGAATCAAACCAAGAAAATATTTTGGTTCGTGAGTTTAATTTCAATAAGAGCGAAATGTCCATTAAAATAAAGTCTTATATCATGTTAAGTGTAAGAAACATGAGGAAAAAACGAGTGCGATCTCACGCAGATGAAACGCACAAAAACATAAAAAGTTCAGATGAAGCTCAATTGAGGTTTCATCTCAAAATTAATTGGTGGAAGGAGAAGTAGTCATTAGACTTATAAATTAGACCTATTTTTTCTGTATAAACGATTTGGGACAATTCACAAGTGAATATTCTAATACGCTCCCTCACTTGTGAGTCATTTTTAAGAAAGTCCAAGCCCAAATACAGAGTCGGGTGCCCAAGCCCTACTAATAATGGGTAGGGTAAACGGGTACGTCATCGCACGATCTCCCATAAAACCGACACTGATACCATGTAATAACTGGGGGAAAAAATGAGTGCGGTGCGAAAAAAAAAAAAGGTGAAAGAATTGCATTTTTGAAAAGGTGGAGTTGCAAGATTTATTTTTACCATTGAAATAATATGTGTTAGTATAAAAGTGATACTTTATGAAGTGTTGTGTTTTTGCATACCAAATGTAAATAGTTGGATTATATTTTTAAATATTATTGCATGTTACTAATAAAGTACTTATTGCTAATTGTTATCTATCATTTTTATTGCTGAAATTGACAAACATTGGTAAAAATTAATCACATTTTCTTTAACAAATAGAATTATCTTATTTTTAATATGATCCATCATTTATATTGCAGTAAGTTAGACGAACTTTGATTAAAAAAATAAATGCACTGGTAACCTTAATAACACTCAAGGGCAAAACATAACATAAATAGAGTTACACTCTGAAGCTATTATTATTACATAATCAGCATTATACAATTTACTTTCAGAACTTTTATCTGAAAATATGAAATAAAAGAAAAATATCCCACAAATTGAAAAATTAAAAAAAAAAATTAAGGCCCATACAGTGAGAAGCTTTATGGACTCAAAAATAAATTAACAATAATGATTAGTCCCTCATCAAATATATTATATCTCGAGCCGTTGTTTAAGTTATATTTTTTATTTTAAGGAAAAAAAAAAGAAGAGAAAATCAATAATAAATAAATGAAAAAAAAAGAGATTAAATTGAATTATTGATCATGAAGATTTTGTTTTTGGAGTGGAGATTTTTAAATCAAGTCCTAAGTCCATCCCATTGTAAGCAATTGGAGCATACATCCACATTTCATCAGAGCTCAACAGCTGCATAAATTGTACACAAAATGAATATTCCAAATATAGCAATTTTTCGAAAACAATAATATTGCAAGCTCGAAATTCGGTTCATATAAAATTTTACCTTAATCTGAAGCTGCAGGAACTTGACATACTGGACAGCCTCTTCAAGCATTGTGCTGATGTCAACCTATTTATTAAGAGAAACTCGGTTTAAGAAAGACGATGCGTTTAAGAATAACCAACAAACGCGTTTTTTTCTGTTTATAAACTACGTTACCTTAGTTCCATTCGGGACGAGGTTCTGCAAGATTCTCAACCGCTCGTTTATTCTCTCTCTTCTCTTCTGCAACATTGCAAGAAAAAAAGTATTTCATTTAGTTACAAGACATGCATGGATTTTTTTTTTTCGTTTTAATTATTTGTCAAGTTTGAAAGAAAAAGAATTACCCTTGCATAGAGGCTCTGGGGATCAGTTGCCGAGCCCCTGCTGGCACGTGTTTTGCCGTTTGAGTTGTGGGGCCCACTGCCCTTTGAGCCCACAGAATCATCTTCCGAACAGCAACTGCTCGAGCTCTGCCTATGAATCATCTTCATATTGTTGTTGTTATTATTATGACCCTCGACGTTATCATCATCATAATCAACGTTCACACACTTCTTGAGTTTCGTGCTTCGCTTGTTCTTCTGGAACTGAAATTTAATTTTACACAAAAATGACAATAAGAAACAAATAAATAAGAAAAAAAAAAACACTCGTGTGAAATTAGTGAAATGCTAACTTTGAAAGATGTTAACTTTCTCTTTTCGGTACTCGGGTCATTTTCACTTTCACCCCAGAAAACCAAACTAGAAAGATATGATGGATGGGACGAATAAAGATTATATTTTGCTTACTTCTGGAGATGCTCGGGATCTTTTCTTCGTCCCAGACGGGCTGCCTATAGTACTATCTCCCCTCGGTAGCTCTGGCATGTTTTGGATCGCAAGATCCTCTCCGAACCGTAAATTATTCCAACGAACAACACCTTCTGAAACATTCTCATTCGATTCTGTACTGTCATTGCTGACAACATCAACGTTCAAGAAGTCGATATTTTCCTTACAGAAATCCATACTCATAAAATTATCACCGATCAAAAACTCTTGACGAGAAACGTCATTATGGTAGCCTTCATCATGGCTCGAAGAAAATGGGAAAAAGATGCCACCATTTTCTTGTGAGAAAGAATATATGCTTGCATTTGTCTCGTCTGGCCCAAATGTAGGAAAAACAGAATTGCTCGGTACCTCATTCGAATTACCGAGCAATTGGGCCATGAACTCAGCCTCATCGGAACAAATTCCACTCATGGAGTTCCATTCGAATCCTGAAATTGCCTCTATTTGTTCCATATTCTTTTTTGTTTTGTTTTTCTTTTAAATTTTTCTGTTCGACTTAGAAGCTAAAGGTGGAAGAAGGTATTTTTGGTATCGAAGGAGAAGTTCGAGTTGCTTGATCACTAGCAAAATGCTGAAATATTTATAGTCTTAGCTACAGAATATATTAATAAAAACAATTGGTTGGAAAAACTATACACAATAAGATTATTCTAATCTTAAAAACCAATAAACTATGTGCAAATGTGGCCTGGATATAAAATAAAAAAATGGAGCTGGGGACTAATACAACTTAGAGAGAGTAGAATTATGCAACCATTCGAACCCGTGACAACAGATTAAGTCCAATCAGGAATATACATCAATATAATAAGGGTTCATCATAAAAGACCAAACTTTTAATAAAGTATAAATTAACTACTATCAGTTAGTATTAATATCAACCAGAAAAATAGTGGTCAGATTATGAGGGGAAGGAAGAACAGGGAATGCCATCTGGCGGTCAGTCGAACGTGCGGGTCCTTATCGAAAAATATCGATATTCTTTAATACTTTTTCAATTTGATTTAATGACAATGACATCATCCATAGGAAGTGATTGGGGGTTTGAGGTATTGATATATTGTTAAAAAGAACTAAACATGAACTGTCACAGGAGACAGAATATCTCCTAAGTTGGGCTACTGTTCCCAATCGTGCAAACGTTTTAACAAAAAATCGAGAAAAATGGAAGAGAACAGTGCAGGACAGATGAATTAAGACACAGTTAACCAAAGGAATTTAGTCATTTTTTGCCTTGTTGAACAGGCTGTGAGGCATTTTTTTTTCTCAACATCAATCATTGGCAAAAGAAAGTACACAATTTTCAACATTAAGGTTCAGGAATGATTGAATACCTTTAATCTTGGACAAGTGCAATGATTGGCTTAATTTTGATTATAGTACACAATGTCCCTTTTTTCTTCATAAGTTGACAAAAGGGTTTCCACTTTTTCATGTAAGCTACAAAATATTATGCACACGATGAACTAATATACGATTTTTTCAGAAGTATGTAAGTAAATCAGATCTAATAAGCAAATTTTTCTCACACAAAAATGCCTAGAATGTGGATAGATACTTGGGAAATTATGGAGCCAAAAGGGAAATGGTTGATTTAGTACATTACATTTTGACCTTGAGACATTGGAACACATGTGAAGAAACTAATACAATTACTATTATTCATAGAGTTTATGCAAATAATTGTTATGGTAACAACCTAATCTGTCACACCCTGTAATTTGCCAACCTAAGGTTTACTATTATTCATAGAGTTTATGGTTGAAAAGTACCGAAAATTTTGCATATTTACTGGGCTTATCAAGAACTTACTATTCAATTGAGACATGAGATGAACATTACTTGACAAAGACTTGTGATTTATAGAATTGACATAGAGGTAAGAATTGGAATTGGACAGAGTAATTTAGAGTGTCACAAGCTTACGGTCATATATTATACAAATGAAATTTTTCCTTGGAAAAATCTTCAAAAATATATTATTACGTCAAATAAAAATCGATCTCCATCATACACATGACACGCACCAATACTTCCAAAACGAGGAGATAAATAAGCTCGAATGGACGCTCTGAATTGGGATGGGTTTTCTCATTTCCTATCAAATTTCTACTCACGTCCAGTGGCGGAGCCACACCTTGTGGCTGGGGTCAGCTGACCCCTATGGATTTCAAAATTTTTAGTATAAAATACTGTTCAAACACTGTTTACTAGGTTAATGACCCTGCTAAAAAATATTGCCGACCCCGGTGAAATTTGAGGCTGGCTTCGCCCCTGCTCACGTCTTAGGACGAACGATATCCGTAACTATGTTTACCTCAACAACACGCGTTATTCATCTAGCCAAGTGGGAAAATAAAAAAGAAAAGGTTACAAAAGGAGGATAATATTAACAACTTAACATAATACAATCCCTCACTAACTTGTCAACTGTGCAAAATCTTGATAACTGGCCCATTGACTAATTGTACCACAAATACCCATTTTCTAAGCAGCAGCAGCTGGTAAATAAAGTTGCCCAATTTTTTTAATAGCACCATTTGAAGTTGGGACTTAACAAACAATTTACAGCTACTTGCCCACTTCTTGAGATGTGGTGGGTGTAAGAGTTAAATGCAAATATCCACAATAACCATATCTATGTGGGAGATGCTACGGTCCCGTTACGGAACCATTCCGTCGAGGTTTGTAACCGTTAAATCAACTATCCCGACAGTTATATGATGATCTAGCGGTTACAAACCCCTACGGAACCGTGGCATTTTCCTATCTATTGAACATTAAATGCATAAATTTCCAATATAATCAAGAATTATCCTTCCAGATGTCCATAAGCATATCTCTATCACATTCATGCGTTAAAATAATCATCAAGATTCAATCTTTCATATGTTTCGATGCATTTACACCAATAATATATCCTCCAAACAGGTCCTTTGATTACACCCAAAGCCAAAAGCTAAAGGGACTAAAAAAGATGAGCAGAAATCAATACATACACACACACACACACATACGAGTAAAATTCTTTGGGAAAAACAAAAGGGTTTTTGGTGAATATGAAATTAGAGGGTTAGGTACCTTGCGGGCTGCGTAATCGGTCAATTAGCCCTAAGAACTCGGCGATGCCCATGCTTCAAATGCGCGTCGAACCACCACCAACACACGGTCGTCTTCTCCCCAATATTTTATTTAGAATTTTATATATTTTTTTTGTATATATTATCGCTTTTTTTTATTGGTGATGAGAGTCTACGTTTTGGGAGCTGATTGGCTTTCGCCATTTGATTCCCAGTTTATGGGTCATTTTTGTCATGTGATGGTTCAGCTCATTGGATGAGGTGATCACCACAAAATGCTCTTGTGCAACAATAAAATTACATGAATGCTTGTTACATCAAATTCTAAAAAATAAAAATAAAAAAGAAAAAAAAAAGTATAGAGATTTTTCCAAACTCAAATATAGTTCAAGAGGCTAGGAAGTCGGCGGTTTTGAACTCGACTTATGGAGTCATCCATAGTTATCTACAAATAATGTATTAACACGTGTCTTGCAATAAAGACACAATAGACACATGTCAATACATAAAATTATGGATCTGATGGCTCCATAAAATTTCTTAGGAAGTCAGGGATAATCATTTCTGGTTCTATACGTAAAATAGTACAAAACACCGGTGTATTATATGGGTGATTGTTAAAAAATTATTTTTAATTTATAAAATCAATGAGCAAAATCATTTTAATTTTTATTTATTTTTTACAAAAAATATATATTATTATATATTTTAGAATGACACTTGTCACTTGTACGATTTACATGTATTATATTATAGTAATTTTTATAACTTATATCATATAACTACTTGAAATATAAATATATTAATTAATAAATAATTTTATTTTTCTAATTAATATTAAAATACAGTTTTATTATTGTTATAAAGATAAATATAATTAATTTTTTTTATACATACAATATAGATGTTAAATCGAAACTTATCAAAAGATGATTAGTTTGATATATTATATATGTAAAACTGAGAAATAATACAAAAGTTATTAATTCCTAAAATATATTTACAATTCAATGGTTATAACAAGAAATGATATTAAAATGCAATTAATACATGTAACATGACCATAAATAATCAATATATTTATGGATAATCTAGACCTAATTATTTTTTGTTGGAAGTAAATTAAAATATACTCAAGCCGAATAGAAGCATGTAATTTGCAACATAGGATCCCGAAGCATGCAAGTCTACCAATTAGGCTCAGCACGTTCTGAATTAATATATAGAGGGGATACCGAACAAACAATTATTTTGACTAACCTAAATATTTAGAGATTTATCATCAATAGCTCTTCAAGAGAACAAACATAAATGGCAAATTGACAAAATCAAATAACACGTAGGCAACACAGTTACGAACAAACCTACTTTATACGAGCCTAAGTCGAATAACTCCTCACACAATGGTTCTAAAAGTTATTTATCTATATTAGGAGGTGACCAATCGACTAACCCAAAGAATCAATCAATTTGCATAGAATGAACAATTCACAAACACGATAATCACAAACAACCAAAACAATCATCTCATATCCCTAACGGAATAATTTTGCTCATCATATAAAAAATAACACCAATAATCATATTAATCGAAAAAATCACGTCCATAATCAAAATGAAAAGGAAAACTCATGATTAATGTGAAGTTGAATGGTAACTCACTATTACAAGCCAAATCCACAAGTCACCTTTTGGAGTGTTACTCTCAAGTAGGGTTGCAAACGAATCGAATCAAAGCGAATACTCAGACTAAATTTCTAGTGAAATTTTCGGCATGTCGCCATAGTTTACAAGTGTTTTACCCTTGTAGACTAAATTATAAATATCTCTGTTCATTTATTTCCATTGGTGAAACTTTTTAGTTGATGAATTTTGGATT